CGGGGGGGGGGGGGGGGGCAAAATCTATTTCTTTTGATATGTCATGTTTTCATTGTTCTGTATGGAATTCTGACTGCTGTATTGTGTTTTCGAAACTTGTAAAGTGAAAAGTGTTATTAAAACTTTATTTCGAACTTTGTTTTACAATTCATTTTACCAAATTTCTCAGCCATTTCCTGAAGAAATTATATTGCTAAACAGAAACTATTTTTTAATTCTAAGTCTGGTGAAAAAGTCATTCCCTTATTGTGTTTATATTCTAAGCAGAAGTTGAGAAAAATAACTTTGTAATAAAGCAATAAAGTCATGCAAGAACCCATTTTGAAAGCGTGTTGAACAGGCCGATCGAAACAGTTCTATTTCTGAATCTTAATTGAACCAATATTTGGATATTTTGTTTTATTCATTAAAAATTTATACTAAAACAATTATTCGCCTCGGGCTCAGTGATTACGGTGAATATTCACCTCGACTTCGTCTCGGTGAATATTCACCGGTAATCACTTCGCCTACGGCGAATAATTGTTAATTATTTTATGAATATAATTTGCATAAATAATTTACTTCCGTCTCATTCTCAGCAATTTTTTGGTCCTCTTTGCTCTCGCACTTCCTGAACAAACTTTGTTAAAGTGCATATATGACACGAAAATTATTACTGTCTTGAATGAAAGAACTATTGAAACTACACTATTACTTATTTTTCAGTTTCTTGTTTTCATGGTTTGTTCCGGAGTATTATATTTCAATTTGTTTGATATGTACAGTACTGCTCAGAAATAACCTAACAGAAAACGCGTTCGGAACACGTCCGGAACGTTGCGTTCCATTCGCGTTCCATTCGCGTTCCATTCGCGTTCCATTTGCGCTACTTTTGCGTTCGACTGTTACCGGAACGCATCTGCGGAACGCGTTCCGGTTACACTCGTATCGAAACCGGACATCGTCGGAAATCATCGCGATTTTCCGAGTATTAGTCAGTCCCACTTGCATATTTTGTGTTCACACTATAAAGCATGAAACCGCGTTTTTATATTCGCTTTCCACTAACGATTCGCGAAATAAAATAACCTATGATGTATATACATCGCATACTTGTATGTGCGTGGTCAATATTCCGGGACAAACCAAAACGCAGTCTAGCTAATTTCCTCTATTCCCCATCAGGTTTCTGATGACCATGTAGAAAATGCTCGCACTTTTCACAAAACTCTAAAGGGCATCAAAATAAATAAAAACAGTTTTGAAGGAATTTTAATGACTTTAACAGTATTGTCTGAAATTATGGAAATTATTGTCAAAAGTTATTTACTCACGCGTGTGTTGAATAGGCTATTGAATTTCATTTTCGAAAGAGGTAGCCAAAATATCACAGTGTTCGAAATCATCATCAGACTAAACCCGGTTTACACTTCAAAGTTTCTGTGATCACAGGAGGAGTTTTAAATGGATAAACTAATACCGGAGAAAGCACAAGGTAAGGAGGTCGTTCAGTTTATTAGCCATCCTGTAGACTAGAAATACAGATAATTTCAATTTTAACTCGTGCAACAATAGTACGCAAGCGATGTTTATTGCTGATATGTGTGTATTCGCGTGCCACAGTAAGGAAACATCATCATAAGTTGATACATTGTTAGTAAATGTATATTGCAAGCATGCACTTATTATAGAATCGACCCAAGATGTTGGGCAGTCAAAAATGTCACAGTCACTAGTATTTTGACTAATTGTAAATGTTTATACTTTATAATCATGTGTAATGACTTAGTTATGCGTAAAAAAAATACACAAGCGGCGATAATTTAAAATAAACTGTAGCAAGTATGCTACCTGATACGCTTGCTTCAGCACGTTTGATAGCGATCTATTTGATTGCCCGTGAGCAGTTTGAGCCGGCTGAGTTTTAGTCGGAACTATTTTCATTCCATGTTGTTAAATGGCTGAAATGTAGCCTGTGCACAACACAAACCTTTCTAGCTCGGATTGAAAGACACGATCGCGATTCGAAGCATTTTTGGCTATTTGATTTGTGTGTTTATGGTTACATTGATATACAGTTGAAACAAACACGCTAAACAAGGCCATTAAGACGATTTTTAAAAATTATTTGTGATTACATGCTGCCCGAAGCCCCGAACTGTGTCGAGTTTCAGTCTGGGTCAAACCGGGCTGGTATTTCAGCCCGAGATGAAGCTTGATATTAATTGTTCATAGTTGTCAACTGTCAAAACCTACAGTAGCTCATGTTTCATTCGGTGTCGGGATTTTCCGATGCGAGAACGCGGTTTTTAGCCAAAGTTAGGAACGCGTTTCCAAGTTTCCTCTGGAACGCGTTCGAACCGCGTTCCGACCGCGTTGCAACCGCGTTCCGACCGCGTTCTATGCAACCGCGTTCTGACCGCGTTCCAACCGCGTTCGGAACGCGTTTGGAACGCGTTTGGAACGCGTTCGGAACGCGAACGCAGTGTTAGGTTATTTCTGAGCAGTACTGTAAATGATGTGAATATGTCCGATAATTTATGACGTCACGCTGGTTATAAATCTATTGACTTTAAAAACTCTAGCAATAGATATCAGTTTACGTTTTTAATTCTCCAGAATTACACTTTACCAGCGAAGAGAGAATCAGTGCTTGTCATTCTATAAGAATATCCATCAACACTCAGACGATAAGTTGAGAACGCTACTTCCCAGTGCTATATCTCACAAATTCAGTCTAAGAAATAAACGCACTTATCCTATGTATAAGTGCAAAACTGAACGATATAAGAGCAGTTTTATCCCAAAGTGTGTTAGAAACTGGGACCGACCATAGACATAACAAAATATTTTATAGTACATATCATTAATATAGTTTATATTATAGTAGTTTTAAATTGAACTTTTTGCAAATTTAAAAATTTTAATACTATCTATGTAATATCACGTTTTTTAAATTTTTATTAATTTACAATGTGGTAATTATTAAAATCAATCAATCAATCAATCATCAGATTTACCAGTGAGTGAAGTTTGAAATTATCATCTTTGGTGATAGCAGTGAAATTCAACGAATTTGAAGAGCTTGCAACCAATGTGACGTCATAGATTAGTGGACGTATTCACACTCATTTACATATCAAACAAATAAAAATATTTCAGGAACAAACCATGAGAACAAGCAACTGAAAAATAAGTTATACTATAGTTTCAAAAGTTATTTCATTCAAGACAATAATAATATTCGTGTCATAACTATGCACTTTAACCAAAAGTTTATCGATTCTGCCTTCATTAGCTGAAGCGATATATTCAAATTCTCGACTCTTTCAACCTCCATTAGTCGAAGACAGCTGTTTTCTTGAGAATAATACGCATTGTCTCGTTCGGTTTTCCATTCTTCAAACAATTTAACCGCACATCTGTTTTTATACTTGGTCTTCAGTACGGCTGCGGCAAAATAGGAAATAATGTTAGCCAATCAGCACGTTTCTTTACATTTTGCGTTCTTGACGAATCATTAATGCCCGAAATTCGAAACATATAAACAAAAGGGAGGAGCAAATAAACCTTGTTCTACGCTCTCCGTACGGTTCGATATTAAACTTTTTTCTCTAAAACAAACAAATTGTGATAAAGCGTGCTTTTTTATTTACTTTTCGGGGGGGGGGGGGATTTGTTAGATTTGATCTAGAACGCGAAATATTTACGCTTGAATAACAGTGTTTTGACGCTATGTATCTATGTGTAAATACTCTGTCTATGTGGTCTTAATATCTGTTCTTCCGATCCTCTCAAAATTATACGAAAGACATCTCTACGAAGCACTATATTCACACTTATCCAATAACAATTTCCTATACGGCCTGCAATCTGGCTTTCGCAAACGCCACTCGACTGAAACTGCTCTAATTCGCTTACTAGACCAAATCCTTCTTGACCTTGATAAAAACCACGTTACTGGCGTTGTTTTCGTAGACTACAGCAAGGCGTTTGACCTGATTGACCACCAGCTTTTATTGCAAAAGCTAAGCGCTTATGGAGTGGATGATACCTATCTCAAGATTTTCCAAAATTACCTCTCAGACAGGACACAGTTTGTAGAAATTAACGGCTTCAAATCATGTCCATTATGTATAACTCATGGTGTCCCTCAAGGTAGCATTCTTGGCCCTCTTCTCTTTCTTGCTTTCATAAATGATCTACCTCCAAACATACCTAATTCAACTGTTGATGTATACGCAGATGACACTACTTTTTCTTCAAGTTCCTACTTCTCTGTCGCGTCGACTGAATTACAAGTTAACCTTCAACACGATATAGACCAACTATGTCAGTGGTCAGACAAAAATAGAATGGTACTAAATGCTGACAAAACCAAATCAATTCTTATTACTGGTAAACGCCTTAAATCCCGAATGCAATTATCTTCCTTACCTCTTACAGCAAGCGATTCAAATATTGAACTGGTTTCTTCGCAGAAATTACTTGGTGTAATCATTGATGAAGACTTGACTTTCAAAGAGCATATAAACAAACTTAGTAAAAACCTTAGTAAAAAGATCGGCCTGCTGAGAAAGATACGAAGATACTTACCACTACTTGAGAGAAAGCTATTTTACAACGCTGTCGTCAAGCCAGTTATGATGTATGGTAGTTCTATTTGGAGTTGCTGCTCGCGAAATGATCTGCTTAGAATTTTCAAATTACAAAAAAGAGCGGCTCGGGTAATTTTAGGAACTGACACTTCCTCCAGGTCAATAGCCAATTTCAATAAACTGAACTGGATACCTTTTTATGACGAAGTTAAAATTAACAAATGCACTTTAGTTTACAAGAGCCTGCATGATCAAGCTCCGCAGTATATTAAGAACTTATTTAAAACAAACAATGAAATTAATGGTAGACAAACTCGTCATGGCGAATATAATCTAGTGTGTCCTAAATATAATTATGCAACTGAGGGAGGAAAATCTGTAACGGTCAGCAGCATTAAAATATGGAACAATCTCCCGAAGGATATTAAGACGAAACCTAGCGTTAATTCCTTTAAGTTTGCCCTTAAAAAATACTTCTTAGAATCTTATAAGGGCATCGATCGCTTTGAATTATTATTGTGATCAGCAAGTTGTACCGTATATAATTTGTATATATAAATTTATAATCCTAAGATCTTTTACATATTTACTCTAAATAGCTTTTAGACGTTTTAAAGTAGAATTAATAACTTTGTATGTATTGTATATGAGGGCCACAGGTTTTTCAGTTATATTGCTGTCATGTGTTTTTACCCTCTTTAAATAAAGTTGTTCATTCATTCATTCATTTACAAATTAAAAAAATAGCGGTTCTATAGCTGTATAGACGTTATAATTATGAAGTACTAAATGTAATCTTAAAATTCGAAAATATCTGAAAATCCAAAAAATCCAAACATAGTTGAAACGTTTTCATTTGTCGGGAAACCTCGCGCTGTTTTCATTAAAACGTTCTTTTTTCTCTGAGATTAAATAAATTGCTAAAACGCTGTCAAATATAAAAATGCCAAAATATCAAAACATGCAGAAGAAAAGGTTATGAACCTACGAGCTCGAGGTCTGGTCGTGATGCGAAACGTTTTCGAGGAATAGCTATACATTAAGGCAGAACTGGACTGAAAAAGCGTCGCGTAAAATCAACAATCTTTGCATGACATGTCTTTACGAAAGTTTTAAAAAACTGAAATTTACCACACTGTTTCCGAGAGATCAAGCCGATGAACTTTAAACCAAAGGAAAAAGACAGGAATGACTGCTGGAAACATATTCACTCTTTCCAAAAAAATCCTTAGCCACTGGCGTTGCTTTTATTCACTTTTAGGTATTTTCATAGTTTTAACATCACAAACATTTTAAAGGGTAATGCACTGGAACTGGCAATCACCAATAACAAAAAATGGGAATGGGATTTGTGCAAGACATGGTCTGGAACGATGGCGATGGGATTTCTTCAAGATTTGGGCTGGGAAACGGGGATTAGGCACCCTCTCCCTTCAGAATCCTCGTATAAGGAGAATTGATTTGAGGAGTTTCTGTAACAACACAGCATTTTGATAAAAAATTTAATAATCCAAAAGCCATATGAATAATAAGGTAATAAACAAAATCATGGGGTAGTTCTCCACCTCCATTAAGCCCAGGATCCCACGCCCATTGCGGGTGATCCTTTACCTTGGTGGCAAATTAAAGCCTTGCTGTCGACAAGTGCAGAAATGGATGTTCAAGCCAAATTAAATATTTACCTTAATACCTAAATTGCACATATTATATGTTATTTAATGAATACCTAAATTGCCCATATTATATGTTATTTAGCTTGCAATTCTGCAAACTTCAGCTGAGGGCATTGTGACAAGTAAAAAATCAGTAGTACGTAGTAAGATAGTCAGCAAATCAACAGCAATGCACGAAAGTGTAACTTCAACCGTCACTATTAACTGTTACCCATAACAAAAGCATGATCAATGATCAAAAATATTCCATGCACATGCTTCAATATTAATCCCCCAGAATTGCCCCTAGTTGCGTTGCATACTTAAACAATACACATGTACAACATTATAATATTGTGTAAATAGTATAGTGTAGTTTCTTTTTGGCAGGCAAAAGTACATTTAATTGACCCATGAAATAGCATGCAAAGCATCGTTCTTTTGGAATGTCATACTATAGTAATAGTTGGCAGTTGCCGAACTGTTGATGCCATGTCTCCGTGTCAATTACCTTATAGTCCAATTATATTCAAACAAAACGCTAACAGACGAAACCCGGTTTATTAATTTTAATTAGTACATTTGGCCTTTGTTTGATATTCTAACAAGTTCCGATAAGAACCCTTTTTGTCTGTTAAGCAAAACATGTTGTTTATCAAACTCAACAATGCAACCTTGATCCAACACCATAATTTTTTCGCACTTCTGAATTGTAGTCATACGATGTGAGATTATTATTACTGTACAATCTTTAAGTACATCATGAATAACGTTCTGTATTTGTTCTGCTGTTTTCCTGTCCACTTTACCCGTAGCTTCATCAAAAATTATTATTTTGTTTTGTTTCAACAAAACTCTTGCTAAATGAAACAACTGCCGTTGACCAACACTAAAATTTGTACCGCCACCAGTGCATAGATGGTCCAGCTTTCCTGGTAAACTTCGAACAAGAAAACTCAGTTTTATCAGATCCAAAATATTCCATATTTCAGAATCATTGAATTCGCCTGTTGGATTTAGGTTTTCTCTAATAGAACCGTTAAAAAGTTCAGGGGACTGAGAAATCACAGAAATTCGTTGACGAGTAGATTGGAGGTTCAAATAGGCAATATTCGCATTATCTACAATAATATCTCCTTCAGTTTCGCCAATTCTCATGAGCGCTGCAACCAGAGAAGATTTACCAGCACCTGTCCGTCCTGCAACACCAATCTTTTCTGATGGATTGATTTGAAATGATATATCTTTCAATGCTTTAAACCCGTTTTCATAATATTGCAGCGAAACATTCTTGAACTCTATTCTGCCAAATTCTGGCCATTCTTTTGGGGGTTGTTCATTGATCTCGTGTCCTTTCTCTGATTTAATTTCAGTGTAAGCCAGAATTCGTTCAGCAGAAGTCATCTGAGCTTGCACCTCGACGGCATTACGAACAGCAGCTGCTATATATATAGCACTGTTAAATGAGTACAGAATGGCCACGGAAGCAAGCACTAAAACATAAAAAAGAGCTGTTTAATACACCGTTTTAATTAGGCTTGATGGATAAATGGGATAGACTATACAGACAGGGCCTGTCCTAAGTGAATGGGGTGGTGGTGGGGGGGGGGGGTGCGAGTTTACCACACCCCTGAAACAAGTCGTGAAAAAATGTCCCACAAATGGACGATTAGGTGAAATGGAACTTCTAAAGGTCTTAATATACCAAATAATTTATTGCAAATGTCCTCGAACAATGGTATCGGACTATGCAAAATAAGAGATCATGTAAAAGATATCTGTTGGCAAACGAAGTATTTTTGAGGAAAAATTTTAACGATGCAATTTAATAAATGAAAAATGAAATTTGTAAATTTCAAAAGCTTTCTGAGAGCCAAAAAACGTCTAAGAACGTCTAAAAGAATAGAGCAAAATCGCCGACGTAATGAAGGTAAGTTTGTTTTAGATATTGATGTATTGTTTGTTTTATAATTGATATGTTTATAACTGATAGTGGTGGGCGATACTGCGAATATCGAACTGATACAATCATTGCATATATAAGTTTTATTAATTTCCCTTTGTTTTGTATATTAGAGTATTTATGTAAAGAGGAAACCAAAATTATTTTCATGCGAGAATTTGAAATCAGTTTATTTCAAACTCAATGCTTACTGATAATTAGATAAAAGGCCGTTTAGTTTTAAGAAGATTTTAAAACGTTTTGCGAAGCGTTTGTGGTTGAATTTTACATTAAACTGAAGCTTATATTACGTATAATAACATACCTAACATATATATGTTGGGAAATTGATAATTTTGTTATTAAAAGTGATATTTTGGGGGGATTTTTCAATTTTAAAACTATTCTTAAAATGATCGTGTTACCATGATAACTGCTTTCAATTCTTGATATTCAGAAAACATAATGTTTTGTCAGTAAGGCGAGGATTTCGGGGTTTGTTTTTTTTGGGGGTTTTTCGAGGGTTTGGGGTTTTTTCCCTTTTTTTTCAGTAAGGCGAGGGTTTTTTTTTCTGCATGCATGTATTTTCTAGTATTAGTCTATTTTGGTATCATATAAAACTTGGCTGACGCCACGTTGAATGGAAAATTCCGTCTTTCACCTCATGAAAATATTCTTACCATTGCACTCATAAACATTCATTATTTGTAAACTATATATTTTTACTGCAGAAGATTATTTTGATGCAGTTAAAAGGCATCTCAAACCCTGCAGTTATAGGAAAAAGTAAAAAGAGAAGAACTGTAAACTTTGTATAACAGATCGGCTATGCTGTGCGAGAAGCTGTTTTTAAATGTTATAATGAACTCACAACATAAATTTGCTGAATTGCTACCAACTAAAGATATAAACTCATTTAGTGCATACCCTGAGAAATAATAGAAATTAGAAAGTTTAACATTAAGACGAAAAAGACAAGTAGATTATGTACTGTTTAACAAACGAGCAGGAGTGTTTTATTAGGTTTAAAGCTCTGATCCTCCTGATCTTTGTGTCATGCGCGTACCCCCCGTATACATTAATTTACTAGAAGTACATGCATGCAGTAACCCCTCGCCAATATTTTCCAAACATTAAATTAACATGAAGTATTCAAAAATGGCCGACAATGAACTCAGGCTCGCGCTCAAGTGTTGCCATGACAATACGATATCTTAAATTTTTAATTTTTTCATATTTTTGTACAAAACTGCAAAATAGTTGAAAGATTTGTACTTTTAACTATACATCAATAAATTTCCGAAATATACACTGTAGGTATATTATTTTGCATTTTGTGAGCTTTGATTTAATGTAAAATTTAACTCGAAACGCTTCGTGAAATTTTTGAAATGTTCATTCAACTAAACTACATTTGCCGATAAACTGTTTTAAACACAAAACAAATTGTTAGGTAACTTTAGTTCAGTCTTCAAATCAATTTGTTCAATTTAAACGGTAACTTATGAAACTTATAGCTTTGTTGAAAAAGAAAAGAGTTCATGTTTTTAGGCAAAAAGTTAAAGCAACAAAATTCAAAGCAAACTTGCCGTATATTTCACGATTTCCCATAGTAAGTCAATTCTTCTCTTTTCTTCAAACAAAATTGCTTCAAGCTTGTTGTATCAATTGAAGAAAACGATATTCCAAATATATGTCTTTTAAAATTGAAATCTTGCTTATCCCACTCCCACAAGCAATCAGCCATATTTTTGAGATCAGTGAGGATGACCACCCACTCAAGTTCGTTGGTCACGCCCGCGATATTTGATGAACTTTAGACTTCGCTAATGCTTTCGTTTCCCCGGGTGTAAATAGCTGGGGGGAATTAGTACCCTCGCACGGCGCTTCGGCCGTCGGCTCGGGGATAATGTAAATAAAAATGGAATTGGAAAGTTTATGCAAAAGAGGTGAAAAATTGACTAGAGTAAAAAAAGTCTTCTGCTTTCCTAAACAACTTGATGGTTTGAAGACATTGTTGGATTATTTTTTGTATATCTGATGAAGGAAAAAGCTTTAAAGGTTCATCATGAGCGGAATAAAAATTTGAAAAGTAATCGAACTGATCGAATGTGGACATATTCCAAACACGAAAAATTTGGTATGAAATGCATGGGATATTTCACTTCATAATGTGAAGATAAGATAAACATTTTCACAGTAAGAATATTCTGACATTGCTTGGCTACTATTTTTCAACAATCATATAGGTCGAAATTGACCATGCATGCATTTTAAACAACTAGAATTTGAAAAAAAAACCCCAAAATTTGAAAACTTGAATATATAACCGTTTTTGTGTTACTCTGATCAGGCGGCCTACTTAGAATCCATTGAAAGTTCATTGTAAAGTGTTTTTCAATTGGTTTGATTTCCAAAATAGTTAGCGTGAATCTTTTTTCGTGCGACTGCAGTCGTTGACATATTGCAGTGACTGTGTATACGGAAAATTATAGAGGCTGGAAGACATCTCCGTTTTATGAGAAAAGCACAAAAAAGCACCGTTCAATTTCACGTGAGACATAAAGCCAAGTTAAATGTCTATAGTTTGGTGTGTTCAAATTTATCTCAATCTATCTCAACGAGGAGAAAACACTATTTTAAACACGTCCACGCTTTGACAAAAAAGAAAAAAATGTCGTCAAAATCGAGTTCAAAATGCATGTCTTTTCCTCAACAATAGCTTCGTTCATTTTGCAAGTGAAATAGATACCAATTTTAGCAAAATAAGCTGATACTAGATACTTCAATAAACATTTATAGTATGTATTTGAGGCAGGGATTGATTTCGTTTTATTGATAATTGAAAATTTGTGTTGTTTAAATATCGTATTATCTGCATAAATAAGTATAGTAGTCGCGATCTATGGTCGTGTGGAGCATATGGAAAACTATAAAGGCTGCATGATATCCCCGTTTTATGAAAAAAGCACAAAAAAGCACTGTTCAATTTTACTTAAGGCATAAAGCCAAGTTAAATATATATAGTTTGGTGTGTTCAAATGTATCTGAACCTATTTCAACGAGGAGAAAACACTATTTTAAATACGGACGTATTTGCAAATATTTTTATCGCTAGAGTAAAATTTTTGCCCTGACATTTTCTTTCAACGAGTGTTCAGTAACAAACAACACAAGCTATTGCTTGTGATATAAATTAATATTAAATAATATTTCAAATTTTAATTAACGAAAAATAATTACTGAGCATTTAAATCCTTTGTTTTCTCATTTGCTTGTTTACATTTTTTGTTGCCATCCTGTACGCGATTTACTGATTTCTTTAGAGAAAGCGCGCTCGCGCCAATCCTAATGTGCATCACACGTAGCACGGTCATCTATTAGCGCGTTTCCCCGCCCGTGCTTTATAGCGCCCTGATTGGACTTAATAAAACACGACCTGCAAGTTTATTTTACTAAATGGCTTCAAACACGTCGACTACAAATTCAATTTGCCGTAGCAAGCTCGATATTTTTTTTTTGGGGGGGGGGGGCTCATATTCATATATACGTGTTCTGCGTTATTAATTTCTTTTGAAATCGATTGTTTTTATGATCTGTGAACACGAATATATGAATATCATTCCCCACTGAATAGATACTGCCTTATTAGTATTCTTTATATAAAGAATACTGATTAGGAGTGTTTTATCAAGTTTAATTATAAAGACACTGCACGTGACATATTATGGTTGACATGATTTGCCAATAAGCTTATGAATTACTAATGAGTGTTTGAAACTTTTAACATACATCAAGCTGCAAAGTTAAAAAATTATGTATATTACTCCTGCCTGTAACTAAAATTTTTATCACTGATAATTATATTAAACGATTCATAACATGCTAATGAATGCAAGCATTTTGAAATTGTACTGATATCATCGCGATTCTTGCTGAAATCCCTCTGCGAAGAGACAATCAAATTGCAGGAAACTTCATTAATTTAAAACAGAATATAATAATTGTACTTATGCCTACCTGCTGTAGAGGAATCTGTTACAGAATACAACTCTGTTGTAGACACAACAGTCAAGAAAACTAAAACAATGACATCAACGACGAGTCCAAACCAACGTGCTGCCGCATAATAAGCATACATAGCTTCGTGATGACGGTCAGTGAGACTGAAATTTCAAAAAGTGATAAAACGTTAATCACTTTCGTTAGTATCGTACTTTAATTAAACTTTTCACACTTAATGCATATTTTAGTTCTGTTTGAGTAGGATATTTCAAGAGCGATTTTGATATAAATATAAAGTGTATAGTTTATGTTATTGACCGAGGAGGATGTCCTGGCTGTTGGATCTTTATAGTTAGGTCGTTTTCTCCCCATTTGTTTGTAAATGAACCGAGCCTATATAAGGGAGGTTTATACCAGCGATAAAAGAAGGAGACTTTATATCATACTGTCCTGTTCGAATAACCTCAGTAAGTAAATTATTTATGTTGCAAAGACCATTCTTCGAAAAACTATAAATTGTTAAAAGACTATTTCAACTTGTAAAAACGCAGATTTTAAATTTCTAATGAATGGAATAATGACAACGTGCAGTCAATATATTAAAAGTCGAACAAAGGAAGCCTGTAGTCCAGTCTCCCTTATAGTTAGCCGAAAAAGTCACTCAATGTTTGCAAGTATCACCCAAACAGCATTTGAAGTGTTATAGACATATTAAACAACGTTTTAACACAAAGTACAGTTTTGAGTACACAACAGTAAATTATTCAACTTTAATTTAACATGCAAAATTTCAAAAGTCACAGGCATATTTATAGGGCTGTTTTCTTCTAACAGATACGGACATAAAAGCGGTTTTGTCTGTACTGCATCTTACAGACCGCTCGTAAACAAATCAAAATGCTGCAATTTGCAGATGTAACGCCTTGCTATTTAAATCGTTTTCCCTTTTGAATGTACCATAGTAGAATGTAACAAAACGAAAGGTAAATACGCGAGCAATTATACACTTCACCTTTTTCATTTTTCTTACATGCACATGAAAAAAGTTCCGATTTAACTTAACAGTAATCCGCGAATGAAAGAAAAATGGAAATAAAAGTGGTTTGTGAATCGTTTGTTTTGGAAAAATACTTATAATACTTGTAGTATTGACTAGATAATCCTTTCTTTTTATCTTGACCGCCTTGCGACCAACCCATCGGGCAGTCGACAGTTCAGGACTGAGGTAGAGAAATCACGGTAAAGAACACAGTCAAATGTGAATCAACCGTGGAGTTCTTTGACATTTTAGCTAAATCGTGATTTACTTCGATATTTTCATGAACGTGAAAGAGTTTTTTTTGTTTTTTTTCGTGATTCGTAAGAAGACTAAATATTTCTACATGAATACATTTTGTGAGAAGGTATGGTTTGCCGTCAATTTCTATTGGGTTTCCAATACCAGCCAAGTCTTCATTTCTGAGTGGAAATATGGCAATATGAAGGTTGAAGGCCTAAAACGTAACCATGTCTTATACACCGTTGATCTTTATATGCAGTAATTTTTTCATACCTGAACAAAACGTTTGTGAATTGTTGCTGTCTGTTATGAACGCGAATAATTCTCAATCCCTCCATGGTGTTCGAAAAGTGGGAATACAACGGACCACCACCTTGAGACATTAAACGTTTGATGTCCATCGCAGAATTAAAGAATAATCTTGACAAGCCAAAACAAATTATAATGGTGATTACAATAACTGGAAGTAAGAGGACGTTGGCTACCAAACATAAGATAATAGCTCCCACAGAAAGCTTCACACATTGAATGAAATACGCCAAATTAAATGGCAGAAGATCGTCTAGATTATTAATATCTTGCGAAAATCTGTTTAAAATACGACCAGGAGGATTCACAGCGTAAAAATAAGTTGTAGCTTGAAGGAGGCAAGACACCATTTTCTTGTGCAGCTTGTAATTTGCTCGAATAGGTAGAAGGAAAATGCAACAATTGGCCAGGATATTCAATAATGCAGAAGCGATTAAAGATATCAAATATACGATTACTACCGTGCGAATCTCGTCTGCATGTTTTGCTAAAGTTGGTAAAGATGCAACTTGAATGTCAATCCACATGGTCAATCCTGGAAAAAATAAGCGATTATAAATAATTATCAAAAGTAATTTAATTGGCAAGCCTGTCAGTTCTTTCATTTTTACGATTTTTGTTTTTCAAAAATTCTTTTGACTGAACGGTTCGATCAAAAAAAAAATTCACCAACAGTCTGGTACAGTCTCTGAACTTGTTCACTATACGTACCTAGCTAAATACGCCTTTCGGTTTCCGAATAAACTAGCTTCTTATAAATTAAGAACAAATCATTTTAAGAATTCCTATTCCATCTTCCATTAAGATTTTTAACGAAATCTGTTGAACAGTTGACAATTTTTTTTTGTATCTATAGTTACATAGTTTTAACTTTAAAGGGACATGGCTGTATAAATTTTTATTTTCTCATCTGAAAAAACTTTTGAAACTATATATTAACTTCCTTGCCGAATTTTTTATATGTTGCTTAGTTCTTGAAATATTTTCACTTGAAGTAATGTCCGCCATCTTAGATAAATTTTTGATCTCACACGCTGCAGCGATATTCAGCAAATTTCCTTCCAGTACCACAGGCATGCATTTTCAGCGGACTTGTGCTGAAAAATGAAACTTTTGCATTTTGCACAGTACTGTCCACTTTCTGTCAGATGTCCGATGACTGGAAGAAATTTTGCTATATTTAACCAACGTGACAATAACGATAGTTTTAGTGACGTCACAACAGGGATTAACAATATAAAAGTATTCGTTACTGACCAAATATTGATTGGTAGATGTTTTAAAGGTTTTGAGTGACCTTGATATTTCGAAGGGCAGACAGTGTATAGTTTGAGTTCAAAATGATTAGCGGTTGTCGAGATAAAACTATTGCGTGACCCCTGAATTGAAGATGGCGGAGATTTCATTTCTTTTGATAATTCCTTTCGCTATCTGCAAACACATTGCTCTCATTTTCCGCCCTCTAACCATCATGTGTGTCTATAATATTTGATGGCGCATGTTTCGTAACATATTCCAGCGTATCATCATTGTTTTCGCGGATATCAAGGACGTTCGAAACACAACAAATCAGGAATACGTGTGGGCGAGTAAACTTTTGTGGCTGCAAATGAATCCGGATAAATGTGAACAGGGTCTAAATTGAGCAATAGATTGAATTTTACCTTGTCCTGCTCCAATTCCCAATAAAATCAGAAAAAGGATCGACGCTGGTGCTCCATGCGTGAAATACTTAGCATCAACTTTGATAGAAACATTTCCAACCTGGCGATCTTCTTCTACTTCATGTAACTGTTCTTGTTGTACTGGATCATCGCCATCTTCCACATGGTCTTTATCGATATTTTCTACAATGTTCTCATTGTTCTCTGGCATCTTAATTTTTACTTCTTCCACAGTTCCCTGAACTACAACTGCACCTGCATCGAAATATTATAATCATTACCGTCAACAATATCTATTAAAGAAGTCATATTTAATCTGTTAATTAATCGCTAAACCAAGCAGCCCCTTTTGGTATTAATAAACAAAGTTAGATTAAATATTTTTTTAAAGTACTACTATAAGCAAATGAATCCAATTCCAGGAAAATTTTTGTAATTAACATTCAATATAGGTTATTGTCACTTCATTTTTGAACTCAGTTTTTCTTCCAGTGAAATGTATATTACTGATAGGGTCTGGTAGGCCCAGACCACATGTTTATTCCTCGATCGCGATTCTCTCGCGCAAACAATTATTTGAAAAACATAAGAAACCCGAAATGCAGTGTCTACTAGAAAGTTCTATTTTCGTGAAAAAAATAATTAATATAAAAAAATTTGAGCGATATTGAAATCCCTTTTTGTAATTTTTTGTGAATTCCACGAATTGACGGATTGATCGCGCTTTTCGCAACGGAGGAAAGACAGGATCTGGCCTTCAAGTATGCTTTCAAATTTCCAGTTGGAGACAGCAATCCAGTAACATTCATTTCACTGGTTTTCTCTGGGAGTGAATTGGAATGGCACTGTGGCTCATGATAATATACTCGAGAGATAACATCATCGGCCAATAAGATCAAGACACACTCGTAAGAACGAAACTTGTGTTGAGTTAAAGCCTGACGTTTCGAATTTTTTGCCACGTATTTCCACGATTAATTTTTCCGGGCATATGAGAACATAGCGAAGTGTTATGTAATCCTCAATTATGCCATGGGCGTTGGATGCTTTCTACGTTATACGCACGCGCAGGTAGAACCCGACTGGTATAACTATCAAGCAGTGCTTCCACTCCCCAAAAATAAGTTCCTTGACAACTGCTCAAAATTTCCTTATTTTTTGTAATAATGGTGCGTTTCTCGGGCCAGAAGAATCATGGACTTTGAAAGGAGGGGACTGTCAAAGGGGAAATTACCTAAATTTATTCGAAGTAGAAGGAACGCCTGGCTTGAGATCATCCTTCCGAAATTTTTCGGATTTTCCATACCCCAGAATAAGATTTCCGACATTTTCTGGAGCGAATTTGCTTGGAAATTGCTGTAATTTTAAGATTTATCAGAAATAACGTAATATCCTTCTTATTCCCTTCCTGACTACAAAATTCCTTGCCATTTCCTTGTAAATTTTATTTCCTTGCACATTTCCTTGCGAAGGCCAAAATTTCTGTTTGCAAGGAAATTTCCTTGCAAATGGAAGCACTGCTATCAAGCTCTTGAATTGCAAATATAAAATTTTGCCTTTTCCTAAATTAATTCAGAAGTTTACTGCAAATACGATTTCAGAAACGGTTAAGACAAGTTTTATTAGAGAAATAGAAAACAGTTGCGTGGGTTTATGTGAGAGCAACGATACTTGCGAATCGAAGAGCAAGTACCGATTATGCGAGAGCAAAGGTACTTGCGAAGATTACCAATGTTTCATGGCTTTTTGTTGAAATCGAACGTGGGAGTTTAGGGTTAATTAGTTACTGTAAGGATTAGCTAAAGTAAACCGCGAAACGAAGGTAACAAGCCCGAGTTAATACAGGACAGGATATATGATAGGGGGCTTCGGTGGTGCAGTCGTCAGAGTAAGCGCCTATCACCTCTGAGATCATGGGTTCAATTCTCGCTGCGGATCATATAAAGACTTAGCCTGCTCACAGACGTTGTAGTTCTTACGCCAAGCGACGAAATACTACCGTCTGCTTACCCGAGCTGCATATTCAATTCCCTTTGTTTTAGGAGCCAATCGTCGGGTAGTGTTCAAAAGAGTTAGAGTCAATTGGAAACCGCCTTATTGAGAGATTAGCTACTGGGGAAAGCCCTTGCACATGCATTGGAATATATTGTTTGTGTTGAAACTTGAAATTTGTTTACGTGCGTGGATATAATTTGGAAACTATAGCGTTGAACTTCACGATGTTTAGGTAGAATAATATTGTGATCATCTTCTCGCATGTTCAGCAAACAATCGGTGTATATAAAATGTTAAAGCAATGCAGTAGGCGAAATTTAAATTTTTGTTTACAATGAGAAACAATCAATCGGGAAACTCGAGTATATCAGGATAAGTCCAAATGTTGCTCTTGATACTTCCTATATGCCATATGACTTCGACGAAAATTTCTAAAAGATTGAGCTCTCATTGTCATGTAGAAAAGTATAGCCAAGTTTATAGTGTATAAACGTTTCGAAGTTTTGGGCGAATTGGAAAATTCATCACGGCGCAATTTTAATACAAGTTTCTCGGGTTTGTGTTGTGTTTACAGTTTACATTCAGAAGTGGTTGCTCAAACAGCAAATTAGTTTACTTTGAAGCTAATATTTCGCTTTCCAAGCCACAGTATTATATAAAATTTTCTGTCTTCCGAGTTCTGTTGTCTTATAAAGATAAACCGTTAAAATTTCAGCGAAATATATTCGGCATTTGATGATGTCTGGCTAAGATTCATATACAGTATAAATATGCCAATCCTGTCCGCGTTTTAAATATAACCGAACATCTTTAATATCCAAATCTGATCATTAGTGGTGCATTTTAATACCTGGACAAGTATCAGTATCTTTAAATTCAATTTATGTGCTATTTTGACCAAAATTCAACCGACGACTGCTTTCAAAATATATATTTATATTTATTCCGCTCCTAAATCAACTGACGTCACTTTCCAGAATTTGGAAGGTAAATTCTGATTGGTCGACGTAGCGGAATTCAGTTTGGCGCTCGGGTAAGCAGACGGTAGTATTTCGTCGCTTGGCGTAAGAACTACAACGTCTGTGAGCAGGCTAATAAAGACTCTGTCAACGCTCTGCCGAAAGTCGTTGGTTTTCTCCGGGCGCTCCAGTCTCCTCCCACAGGGAAAGTTGACAGGGTGGGTTAGGATAAACACAGTTAAGAAAGTAATCACATGCAATGGTTGTAAAGATAAATAGTCTAGGATAAGTAAGTAACATAAGTAAGCGTAATGATCGATGTAATCAGTCACTGAATAGCCCCAATGGGGAGGGAGCTGGATAATAATATAATGTAATGATGTTTTGATAACGCATGCGCAGATTCTCAAAGTCTACTTGGAAAGTCGGCAGAGCACTCAATGGTTAGGCTTCGTCTCAGCTAGTGCATCCACCAACTATTGCGCTTTCCCTTACTCTCCCAACTTCCCGGGTGCTTAACGACTTGCGACTGACCACGCCTAAGCAGGAAAAAAATCCTAATTTTATACATATTTGTGCATTCAAAGGTTCATACCTTTATCCAACATTATGATGTAGTCAGCGTCATTGAAATGCTTGTGCGTGACTAAGAATACAATCCGTTCTGATAACATTCTTTTTAAAACATTTCTAAAAATATTTTCTGCAACCTTGGCATCCAAAGAACTTAAAGGATCATCCATTAGATATATATCTGCCCGTGAATAAACCGCGCGTGCCAAGGCTAGACGTGTCCGCTGTCCACCACTCAATGTTGCACCGTGTTCTCCAATACGAGACAAGTCGTGTACTGGGAATCTCCTAAAATCTTTTTCCAACTGACAAGCTTTGATGGTTTCTAAGTACCACTTTTCATCATACGCTGAACCGAATAAAATATTTTCGCGAATGGTGCCTGGAAATACCCAAGGTTTGTCTGAGACATAGGCAATGTTTCCTAAATGCTTTACTTTTCCCTTGGTAATACGAAGTTCGTTGTTAAGAATGCTTGCCAGCAACGAGGACTTCCCACTACCGACAGAGCCAGTAACAATAACAAATCCCTTTGATAGTATCTTCAAAGAAATGTCCTTTAACAGTGATACGCTGTTTTTCTCAAGATTTGAAAGACTTGATGTGGGTAACTTAGATGACACATTATCTAACCAAACGTAAGGACTACAGCTTACATTCTGCGGAGCTTTCGTCTCTTCACTTGACTTTTCAACAAATTCTGATTTGTTCGTGTCATCCATGAAATCATAACTTTCCAAGAAATGCTGTATCCGATTAAGTGCCGTAATTATGTTCGTGCTGAAATGAACTGAAATGGGGAGTTCGAAAAAAATGGCATAGCCAATGCTATAAAGTAGCAACATCATCGCTAATAAATTATGAAATGTGAGTATGGACCTTTCCGTCCAAATTAGAACCATTATTGTCACAAATGTTGAAAGTTGTTGCCCAACCGTATTAAAAGAAAAACTGAATGACAAAATGATCCACCGCTTCGCCTTGAATTTTATTTCTTGCCTAAATAAGAAAAAAAAAATATGAAAAGAAGGCTAGTTTAATTCGCATTTCACCACATTTCCATCGAACCATGCAGCGCAATTTGCAAAGGATAGTGCAAAGTTCAGAGGATCTCCATGATAGTACAAAACCAGAGTGGCAGACATTCAGGCTGCAAACCACGACCAAGTGGACTCAGCCAACGTTATCTGGGGGAGGGCAACCTCGTTCCCAGGGCTTTCATGTGAGGACGAGGGCAGACACGAGAAAACCCTAGTCTGGGCCGGTGGATTTTGCATTCTGATTGGCTAACACAAATTTGTCTAAAAATAACTGAACTTGACAGTTGACAATAACAATTCAACGTTTGTATTTTTATGATTCTTGTGTGTACGAGTAGGTTTTGCAAAATAATCTTTCAAAGTAAGACGTTTTCCCGACTGCATGATTTATTTTCGCCTAGGCCGGTTACAAAACTCAAAAGCTGTGTCGACGTGAGCTGTGATGTTTCATGACAAGAAACGTCTACTATTATTTAAGCTGTAGTTTTCCTTGCACAGTATTTACAATGTAGTGCAGATGTCTGTTGAAATACTACGCGTATTGCATTGTAGTAATATTTTAATTTACAATATTCTATACTGACAAATAAAAGCAAGACAAACAATTAAGAGCGACTGTCTACAAAAATCAAACAAAATGAGAAATATGTGGCAAGGCTCAAAATTTTAAATTCGCTCTACTTTTGAATATAAGTTGACTATGGTGAAGTGAGAAACGTTATGTGGTTAGTTTTTAAAAATACTCTTTTGTTTATGAAAAAAGGAAAAAAATGTTTCAGCTGTGAGGACCGATTTTCGCAATCGAAAAATGGCCGAAATTGCGTATGTTTACTTAATCCTGGTATCCAAACCCTAAATCCAAATAGCCTTATTATACTTTCTGTTAAAGCTACATCACTCCCTCGTTTATTAATAGTGGTTTTATGATAATTGAGCAACTGAACACATTTGTGCACAATAAAGAGCGACGGGTACTGATTTTTAAAGTTTGTCATTGCATGTAAAAAGTGGCAGATTTCTCCATTTGCCATCCTTTCAAATCTTATGGGATTTTGCACAAGCACTATTTGGAAACTGCCCTTTTCAGAAATGTATTATTTATTTTGGGCAAATAAATTCACACGCTTTGAGAAAGAGTTAACTTTGGTTCATTAAATATTCAAAATCACTGTTTGGCGATTGACTAATGGCCCCTTGCAATAAACTCACTTAAAACATCATTGTTCTTCACCTTTAGGGTATAGAGAATTTGAAGAAAACATAAATATACATACCTTGAATGCAAAAAGTTCCTTTGAGCTGTTCCACTTTTGGAGTTATCCCTAACTTAACTACATATTAAACTCAAAGTTCAAGGAGTCCAGCTAACAGAAATCAGCTAACAATTTACACAACTTCCATTCGTATTCCATTTACAATTGTTATAGTTAAGCCAATAAAATAAAAAAATAAGCCATGCAGAAAAGAGTCAAGATTAATATTGTAGACATTATATTTTATTCATATACTGTACTGAAATATCGAAAAAAGTATTTACATTTATAATTAGATGATGCGGGCTTCCTGTCGATTTGGCGGAAGCAATGCTACTGCAGTATTGATATCGCTGCGATCAAATGAATAATCTGTGCCAATCCGTGCCCACTATTGGACCAAAATAGCAGAGTCTAGAGAGTGCCATTTCCTTCGAAACCACTCTGATCAGTCGTCAGTTCAAATACCAATATGCTGACTTTTCATGGAAGTTTAACTGTTATGGGGTGCTCGTGACGGATATTAATTAATCATAATAACAATAGCATAGCGGCGTGCGGATCGCATTTTTTCGACAATAATCCACATAAAAACAATATTAAAAATACAAGTAATGCATCACAGTGGCAATACTTTCGCCAAATCGACAGGAAGCCCGCCACCTATAATGTAAACATTTGGTGACAAATAGCTTTTTCAATATGTCAGTATAAAAATAAAATAGAATTTCTGTAATATTAACTTTGACTGCTTGTTTCTAAGAATATTAATAATTGTAAATAAAAGTAAATTACAGCAATAAAAAAAAACTCAATTCGCAATAATCCACTTAATAGAAAAAAAATATTAAAAAAGAAATGACAACATTACAGTAATACATCGCAGTGGCATTACTTCCGCCAAATCGACAGAAAGCCCGCCACCTATAATGTAAATATTTAGCTTTTTCGATATGTCAGTATAAAAATAAAATAGAATTTCTGCAACATTAATTTTGACTCTTTGTTTCTAAGAATATTAATAATTGTAAATGGAACACAAATGGAAGTTGTGTGAATTGTTAGCTGATTTCTGATAGATTGAACTTTGAGTCGATGTATATAAGGCGGAGATGTAAACAACCGAACGGTCGACAATATTAAATTCCAGGTATAAACTCCAAAAGTGGAACAGCTCAAAGAAAATTTTTTCATTCAAGGTATGTATATTTATGTTTCTTCAAATTCTCTAAACTAAAGGCGAAGAACAATGATGTTTTAAGCGAGTTTATTTCAAGGGGTTTTTAGTCATGCAATCGGACCATTCGCGTAATAGACTAAATTTTGATCTGAACAAAAATTTCATCACAGCTTGAAAGAGCATCACAAAATTAGTAATATTCCAAAATTTCGTTGCGAAATGTTGTAAAATGCGGATAATATAGCCCTGCGAAGTTTGCAATTTTCAGTCATTTTAGATTACAAACGGGAAATTGACAGCCCGATACGCTTTGAGGCTGTCAATTTCCCGTTTGTAATCTAAAATGACTGAAAATTACAAATTTCGCAGGGCTATATTATCCGCATTTTACAACATTTCGCAACGAAATTTTGGAATATTACTAATTTTGTGATGCTCTTTCAAGCTGTGATGAAATTTTTGTCTAGACTTGTTGAGATCAAAATTTAGTCTATTACGCAAATGGTCAATTGCCAAACAGTGATTTTTGCATATTTAATGAACCAAAGTTAACTCTTTCTCGTAGCGCGTGAATTTATTTGCCCAAAATAAATTATACATTTCTGAAAAGAGCAGTTTTCGAATAGTGCTTGTGCAAAATCTCATAAGATTTGAAAGGATGGCAAATGGAGAAATCTGTCACTTTTTACACGCAATGACAAACAATAAAGATCAGTACCCGTCGGTCTTTATTGTGCACAAATGTGTTCAGTTGTTTAATTATCGTAAAACCACTTTTAATAAACGAGGGAGTGATGTATCTTTAGCAGAAAGTATAATAAGGCTATTTGGATTTAGGGTTTGGATACCAGGATTAAGTAAACATACGCAATTTCGCTCATTTTTCGATTGCGAAAATCGGTCCTCACAGCTGAAATATTTTTTTGCCTTTTTTTCATAAACAAAAGAGTATTTTTAAAAACTAACCATATGACGTTTCATACTTTGTCATAGTTAACTTAAATTCAAAAGTAGAGCGAATTTAAAATTTTGAGCCTTACCGCGGTATGTTTGATTTTTGTAGAGACTCGCTCTTAAATGAAACTACTAAATTAATTTAGGCCCTATTTACTTGTAGTTGTAGAGACGGGAGTTAGGTAATATCGAGTTGGATTCGAGTTCGAGTTCGAGTTGGGCTTCGAGTTGGACTTCGAGTTGGACTTCGAGTTGGACTTCGAGTTGGACTTCGAGTTAAACTTCGAGTTGGATATTTTTCTTTACTTTTCGGGAAAATGACAATTGTATTTCACCCAACATTTTTTGCTGCGGAGCGAGCAAGCCTGAAGCAAATTTACACATATGGGGGAATTTTATCTTAAACCATTGTTTACCGCAGCTGTACTGTAGCTGCCTCGTCCCTCGTCGCTTCAGTTGGGAATAGAGATCAGAGGAAAAACAATGGGAGCGCGGTGCTTAATGGGAATGCGATAGAATCTGAAGCGACTCGGAAAACCCGCATCCAAGATGGCGTCCATTGTAATGGCTCCTGATTGGATTTCTACATTTTCGCCCGCCAAAGATTTACGCCTGGAGAATTACAACTTTAGAAAAACCGCCAAAAGCACACAATTTCTTAAACAAACACAGTCCGCCAGCCCGCCAATCTGCTGCATTTTAATTTTTTAACGCCAAAAACTCCTTTGTGCCACGCCAAGTGGCTATGCTTTCCGCCAAAGATCTTGAGCTGATGGGTATCGGAATCCAATCAGGTAATGGCTGAGATATAAATGCAAATAGGGAGGATTTTTCAAGGTCGTTATGTATGGCGAGGAAACGTTAAAGTATATTTCCTGTTTCTTAAAGATGGGTACGAAGGTATGTTCATTTGCATTTTACATATTTTGCGCTCAAAAATGTATCAATTGTCGCAATTTATTAAATAATATATGTGCATATTTAAAAATATCAATCTTATTTTGACTGTTGTAGAGTGTAGACATTGGCAAGTAGTTCTTGGTTAGACGTTTCTGGAGAAGGAATGTTATTTCCATATTTGGCCAAGATCCGAAAGAAGTTGCCAAAATATACGGAATGTTTCTTTTGCACTCTGTCAAAGTCAAACTAAAGACATACGCTGATCAAAATAACCCTGTCGAATCTCAGATAAAATATTGTTAAATTAATTTCTATTAATCAATCATTTTATAGCCTTTGCACCATGTGCAAGTAACAAGGTTAAGGATGCCATCTCGAATACATTGTTAATTGTT